AGTCAAAAATCCTTCGAACAGGACTATAAAGTGAAAATAATCTTCGACATGGATTAACAGTGTGAAAAGAATTCAATTAGGATTATGAGTGTGAAGATTAAACTAATTGTGAATAATAATAACAAATTGTAGAATTAACCGATTATGAATTACAACATTAATCAATAATCTAACTCAATGCATGATTGAAAGATTGTGTGTGTCTGCGTGATCAGCATTTGATAGTTTGATTGCTCGTTCGTCTCCTAATAAGTGAAGATTAATGAATTATATTTTGAAAACTTAATGGGTCTTAAATAAGTTTGACTATATTATTTTATTTATAACCTATAATTTTTATATATTAAAATATAAAGTTAGCGATTCGGTTAATAATGGTTTAGTTAACCTATAAAACCATAATCGAGCCGTTAGTTATCAGTTAATAAAAATTAGAAACCGAACCAACGTTTTTTAAAATGGTTTGGTTATATAGGTTAATTTGGTTTTGGTTCGGTTTTTCGGTTATTATGCTCACCCTACTCAAAACCCATCAATATTAACATATAATGCAGGCAATAAGCATATAACTCAGATACGATTCCCACATATATTTAATACTTTAATTTAATACTTATATTAAATCATGTTAATGAAATGGACTATGCACTTACTTGATAAAAGTGAATGCCTCTGAACTTGGGCAAAACTTCGCCTTGGTACTTTATATTTTCCTCTAACGTGACCTAGGTATGAATACCAGTAAGTCTTAGTCTAATTATTCCCTAACGATTAATGGTAGTCTAGATTTCTCAGTGATCCCAGTTAATACCAAGAGTTTTATCAAGTAAGGATCGGTCATGCAGGACAGTTAGGAGGCAGGACCATTTAGGCATATAGCCTTTCTGAAATCCAACAATCAAGCTAAAATAATCATTCTATACATCTCTCCCATAAGTATATCAATTATTATTATGACTTAGAATCACTGATAAATTTTATTTATATATTCATAAATAACAACTTATGACTATAAATATATGTTACACTGAAAAGACTAGAGTGTAGCTTAACTTACATAGCTTATGCCTGATAAAAGTTAGGAAATTGAATTGGCAGAGCTTTTACTCTCTAACTACTACTACTTCAGGGATCATAGGACACCGTCGAAGGCTAAAACTAAGAGAAATGGGCTAGAACAGAAACAAATCGAGAGATAGTGTTTGAGAAGTTGTGAGAGAAAGTATGAGGCTTTGCCACCTATTTATAGTTGAATTTGGGGTGCACGATATACAAATGGGGTGCACGTGTCAGGCTCTCCGTGGTCTGCGTTTTCACCTTCTAGAAGCACGGGTCGCGCTGTGCAAAACACAAATTTTGTAAAATTCATAACTTCTTAATATGAGCTCCATTTTTTACGTTCTTTATATCCACAGAAAGCTCTCGAAGAGATCTACAACTTTCCTTTAGACTCCATCGGCTAATTCTGACTTTATTTTTTCTGCATATTTTTTATATGATTAAATGATTTTGCTAAAATCATAAACTTTTTCATACGGATTCCATTTTTTACGGTCCTTTCTATAAATTTCTATCTTAAAGTGTACTACGATTTTCTTTTTGGTGACTTTAGCTAAAGTTCAATCATTTTCTTCGTAACGTTTTACGTCACACATTCCTAGTGCGCGATTGACTTTTATATCTTATAAAAATCATATCTAATTCATACGGAGTTGGATTTCTACGAAATTTATATTTCGGAATCGGGACGACGTGTACTTTCTAAATATAATCTCTCTCTCTCTCTCTCTCTCTCTCTCTCTCTCTCTATATATATATATATATATATGTGTGTGTGTGTGTGTGTGTGTGTGTGTGTGTGTGTGTTTTAATGCATTTATTTTTACGACTTACGAACGATTCGGCAGATTTTTTCCTATTTTTCCTTAATACGAAACCTGTATTATATAGTCTGGAGCACGCTTGACTATAGATTATCATATTCAAATATTTTAATTTTAATAATCATTAGTTATTATGTGCTGCTTGAATTTAGGGCCGTTACAAAAGTAGAGTATAATCATTTTTGTGTATCAAAGTATTATTAAAAGTAAAAGGAAATTATATTTGGTGGGTGTACATACATATTTGTTATATGTATGTAACAATTAAAAGTTAAAGAAGGAGCATGAAAGGAAGACGGATGTCATGGATCTCAAGATATTATGGTTAACATGTGGTAAAATGTTGTTGGACAGGGTACCGAAAAAATGTTAGGATTTTGATGCTAGTGGCATCAATCATTGAGATATTGAGGAAAAGAAGATTGAATCCATTAGATACAATTATTGGCTAGGTTTAGGAGGATGAAGGTGATTACCATTGATGATGCGAGAATGAGAATGCGTCTAATAAGGAATTATGAAGATAACATGATGATAGACTTAAAGAAGCTGGCTCTTGGTGGAGAAATAATATGTGATAAGAGGGCTTAGAATTATAGTAATAAAATAGTATATGAGTAGTATAGGTGCTACCTTTTTGCTATCGTTTGTATTTTCACTAAATGTATACTGTGTTATTCTTATTTTCTCTTTACTTTTAGCATGCATTGTTTGCATCTCATTTCACTATTTATGTATAAGTCCAATATTTACGTGCTCACACTTGCTTTTCTCTGCTCTTAGTATTGTTGTTGTATAGTATGTTTTTTTCTTTAGGCACACACCATTGTTTAGTTCTTCATCATATAACGGTGTGATCATCCGTTTGTTCATATGCACGAGATCATCCGATGTTTCATATGCATGAGATCATCCGATGTGCGCCCCTGTTCTTTTCCTTTTCACATCGGGGATCATTTATGGAGGCAATCCATTTATCATTAGTAAGAAATTGACTACATCTTATCTTTTTCTTTTTAATTTTTATGGGACTTGAGACATTGTTGTTGTTATCATTGTTTTAAAATCAAATGATATTTTTGGGATCTTTAGCTATGGTTCTTGAAAACAAAACGGTTTTGTGATTTGGTTTAACCTTTCAATATTTTGTAGTCATTTTTACCTATTATTCCTGGAAAACTAACCAGTTTGATTTGCCATTTGCTTGAAAACAGTATATATTTCGTTCCGTGATAAAGGTATGAGTGTGATCATAACAAAGCTATGATCGTATTTGTGTAAAAGATAGGTAGTTACACTAAAGGCAAAAACGTCCATTAGCAAAATGACAACTTTTTTTTGCTTTTTGGCCCTCGTTCCAATTACCTAGAATTTCTATTCCTAATCAACTAAAAGGGACCCACAAAGAATAAGAATGCAAAAAAGTTTTAGTAATATTTTTATATTAATACAATTTAGTGCATTTTTTGTATTTTAAACACGTTAAACAATAATTCATTTTAATTTTTCTAGTTATTATATCAACATAGTACGTCCTCTCATAAAAGTTATTTTTGATTTAACACAATAAAAATTACTAATCATATCAAATGTAGTAAAAAAAGATATAATTTTATTTATCAGAGTAGCTAATTGATGCTTAGTTAAGCCATGACCCTATGGGCTATGGCCCCCTTAGAAGCTACTACCTCCGTTCCATATTTATTGTCTATTTTGACTTTTGAAGTCATTATTCTTCAACTTTGATCTTAAATATTTCTGTTTTTGATACATAGTATTTGATGCAAAATATATGAATGGATTGTATTTTAAATGTATTTTCATTGTTATAAGTTTCATAAAGTAATATATAACACAAATAAAAATATTTAAGGTCAAAGTTAACGAATAAAGACTTTAAAAGTTAAAAGTGGACAATAATTATGGGACGGAGGGAGTATAATGTAGGAACCTATAGATATGTTTTGGGGTTTGATTTCAAAATTTTGGTCACAAAAATTCAAAATTTCGGTTATAGACATGTATTCTGCGGAGCATCCTCTATGGGCTTCGCGGACAAACTAAATATCCGCAGAATCGGGGTATTTTCGTAATTTCGCCCATCCCCTCTTTGTAAAAACGGGTCTCCACTTTCGTCCCCCCACTGCCCCTGTCTACTCTTCGACTTCAATCTCATCTTCGTGTCACCGCATCACCTTCAACCCTGATTTTTCGGCGACATCGACTTAGACCCCGACATTTTCCTGTGATATCAACTTCAACCCCGATTTACCGGCGACAACAGATGGAGCGGAATTTCCTCAACATTTTCACTGATAGATACGGCTCCTGAATAATTTTCACATTTCCCTCTTTAGATTAGTGTTTCCCTTTTTCATATTGTTTAGATGTAAGATTAAGATGGTATCAATATGCAATTCATAACCTGCAAAAATGTTTAAATTTAGATTTAGGATTAAGATGGATTTGAAATTGCGAAGATCCATTACGCGGAGGGATAGGTCACTTTGTAGAGGGACCTCCACGGAGTGACGTATACTCTCCTCAAAATGGGTTTGAAATGGCTAATATCCATTCCGCGGAGGGGATAGGTCACTCTGCATAGGGTCTCCGTTGAATGACCTAAAATGTCATTTTTCCCCTTTTCTGCTCTTTTATATCAATTATTTCAAAATGAACTCTTTATAGCATTTAATTTGAAAGTACGTTGCTATTTAATTTTTTATGTAAATTGATGTGACTGGTATAATTGGGTACTTTTTTAATTATATATTGTAAATTGAACGTACGTTGCTATTTATTGCCTTAATCGAATTAACTATGTAATTTTTAACCTTGTTTTTATTTTCTATTACTAACGTATATGTTTTGTAGCATGATGATCTCGATCAAAAAACATATTTAACATTAAAAGGTATGGTCGGTACGATCATTAAATACTATTTTCTGCGTCTAACACAATCGCAATGAGCATTATTTGAAGCTTCACCATTTGGAAGATTCTTAGGAATGTATGTCCCTAATGGTGAGCCCTTACTTGTGCATTTGATGATGTTGCCTGAACTAAGGTCTCAAGAAGTGTTTGAAATGAGGAGGATTCTTTTTTAGATGCAAGGGATGCAGTTCGATTTTGGTGAAACTGAATATATTTTGATTAGTGGGTTAAGAGTTGGTCCTTATGTGGATTTACTCCATGACGAAAGAGGCCGGTCAAATTCAAATCTTCGGGCTCGGTTGTTCCCAGACATTACAGATGCATGTATGCAACTCAAATATTTAGAAGACTACATTATGTCTCCGAATTATTGGGCACTTCAGGATGAAGATGCTGTAATGCTTGTCCAGCTTGTTTTTATGTTGAAAGGTCTCTTAGAATGTTTGGTCTTAAACTGAAACTTTTCTCTGGTTGCTTTAAGACTCAACGCAAATATTAATTGTTGTTTTTTGTCATACTTTTGACGAACAAACATATCATCATTTGGACCTAAACTGTGAAATGGTCCAGGTTCAAGAATGGGATCAGGAAAACCAGGTACGAGAGGCATACCGTAAAACATATACGAAGCGGATCAATATAATTTTTGGGCTAAAAATTGTATGGATCGATGAATAGTAATGAATAATAAGATTTGTTGTTTGGGCTCAATATTTTCATTGAAGATCTTAGTTATTTTGTTGGAACGAGAAAATCTCCAATTTTAACATTGTACCACCCACGATGCGTGTTGTATAACTCGTTCTTCGTATTCTTCGTATTCTTCAACGATCCAAGAACATCTTTATAAGAATCACCAACACTTTTGGGTTTTGACTTCAAATTCAATGCAACCTTTGGAAATTGTTGCTTTGGAACCCAAATTTGCTTCACGGATTTCGACTTCACAACATTTGACGATTTTTGTGAATAAACCTACTTGTTTTTGCATTTAATCTTCTTCTTCTTCTTTTTCTTGCTCATCTTTTTGCATCTTGAAGACTTGCTTTCATGAACAAACCCACTTTCCACAACTTTAACTTTGTGAATTTGAATCAAATCTTTTAGAGTTTGATACTTGTGAATGTCTTGGATCACCGGCTTTCGATAAGGAATCATTCCTTCAAACGAATCACAAGAACACAAAATATCATCGGTTTGCACTCCAATCGAGCAAAAAAAAATTCATCATGAGAATCAACTTGAACTCCTTTTTCTTGAACATCAAGAACATCACATTGAACTACATTGTCAAGAACTTCAACAAACTTAAGAGCACGAAGATCATTTGGGTTTTCAATTAGACAAATGTATTTCTTATTAAACATATCTCTTTCTTCTCCTTCTTTTTTATTTCTACTAAGGACTAACATCGATAAGTCAATTTTCATCAACCATTCAATGCTAAAAAGTGATTGAAATATCAAGCTTCCATGATCATCCTTCAAACCTTCATAAGAAACCTTATCACTCCATGAAATCAAATCGCTTACCAATAACTCATAAAATTGATCTTCATTGACTTTGTATTTGATATCTTCAACTATCAAAATCCAAGAATCATACGGCAAATCCACCATGATCACAAGAACTTGAAATTTTCTAGAGAGAGAAAGTGATATTGAAGGAGTTTTCTAGTGAGAGAAAGTAAACTCACTTGAATTCTAGTGAAGAAAATCGAATTATGAATAGAATCAAAGATGAATTCGATTTCTAGAATCCAAAAACTCTCTAAAACACGAAGATCAAAGATCAAAAAACGAATCACCAAATCAAGATTGTCACCATGGATCAATTCTTGATCAAAATCAAGAACACCCGCTCTGATATCAATTGTAGTGATGTTGATTATGATGACATGTGCGGAATTAGAAAAGATCTATTGAATCATCTTGTAAAATCAAGAACACGTGAAGTAAATAAATTTGGGTTTAGCTCTCACTAGTATTGATAGAAATAGTACAAAAATCTTTCAATTTCTCTCTCTAAACTAATGTTCTCAAAGTATTCATTACGTAAATGCGTGTCACTCACTTCCTATTTATAGGAAAAACAACTCATCACAATAAAAGTGAGTAAAACACAAATACATCAAAGCGTTACTTTGCACCCTAATATTTTTCGGCACCAGTTTCCAGACCAATCTACTTGTTCATGTCTCCTACATCCTCATAACTCTTATATGGTGTCATAGATGAACTAAAAATTAACATAGTTGTCCCTGAGAGGAGGTTAAACTGTCGACTAAAAATTGGTCATACCGCAGCTTACATACTCTGAGTTATATGGTGGCCTAGATGAACTAAAAATTGACATAGTTGTCCCTGAGAGGAGGTTAAAGTGTCGACTAAAAATTTGGTCATACCGCATCTTACATACTCTTGTTGTCCTTGATAAGTTCATGTGTCGATTGATAGTGACATTACCATCTTATGGTTATTTATATACACTACAAGGTTTTAGTATTATTTATCATTAAACCACATCCAAAACATATATTATTACTAATCAATGTCTTTTTTTTTTAAAACTACACATGTATGAAAAATGCGGTTCACAATGCATGCTACATATGCATGTTATTTTACATGTTTAACACAAAAGTCTTCCTTTTACAACACCTTTATACGTGTATATTTCAGTTTTTGACCTTCCTTTGAAATACAAAAATCATGCAAAACAATTACTATACAAAGTTTGATTGCTTGCGGCCTTGCACTGAGAGGGATATATATATATATATATATATATATATATATATATATATATATATATATATATATATATATATATATATATATATATATTAAACTGTATTTGAAATAATAATACAACAAGCTTTGTAAAATATCAAAGTTCATGATTCTGACAATAAAAAAATATAATATTAAAAGTAACCGAGACACTTTTTATTATGTTGTAGTGCTTTTTTAGAACTTGATGGAAGGTATTTAAGGTAACTTACGGATATTAAATTATAATATTATATTTTGAAAGGGTTTTGATGTAAAATTTTCATAAATTGATTATTGCAATTTATAACTAGAACAAGATAATTACTTCATTAAGTCAACGGTAATAAGATATTTTTCCATTTATTACTAGTTTATTCTTATCAAATACTCATGACGCTCATTAATAAAATACTATAATAAAATTCTTAAAGACTAAAGTTATAAAATACTTTTAAATAATTTATAATGTTTTAAGAGTTAGTTACATAAAAGAAACTAAATTTATATAGAATTTTCGAATTTTAACATTGTGATAATTTATTTACAATTAAGACACTAACTTTACAAAAATTAATAACATTGATATTATATTTTTTTAATTTGTTTCAAAGTAGATCATTTTACCTGTCTTTGGTGATTTGGTACTGACATAAGATGATGACACGATATTTTTTTGTGACACCAAGTTATCATCCTATATCACGGTCATAAGTTATCATCCTATATCACGGTCATTTCATCAAAAACCGACGACATGTCATTTAATAACTGAATTGACAGATCAAATAGACAACATTCAAACAAATTAAAAAATAAATATGATATCAAAATTACTATGTTTTAAAAACTTAATGTCTTAACTATAAAAAAAAACTTAACATAGAATAAAAAATTTCTATAAACTTTAATGTAATTAATTTGACCCATATATTAATAGACTAATACCAAAAAAATTGCTTTATCAAAGCCTAAAGAAAAATGACACTTTCTTAGGGGCAATCTAGTAATTTTAATGCAAATATACACGGGAAGTATGCTCAAGACCAAATCCACACCAAACTTGCATCAATGAGAACAATAAGCGTGTTACAATTTAGTCCTTCACCGGCTATTACCGGTAAAACCGGTGGCACCAATGGAAAATAGAAAAGTCGGCGTACAACAAGCTGGAAGGTATAATTGTAGTCTGTAGATCTGTTATAACGGCGCCGTTAATACCCCCGTTACAAAAGTTAGAGAGAGAATGTATGTGTGTGTGTGAGTGCGTGAAACGCTAGGACCACATACACTCTTGATAAGAAGCTTTCAAACGGAATCCCTGCCATTAGCATCGTCGTCGTCATCATCGTCTCCACTCTCTCTCTCTCTCTGAAACTAACAAAACAGAAAAATCACAGAAGAAGATATTATTCTTCATTGAAGAACTAATCAATTGAGGTACGTACAACATGATTTGACATCGGGATATATAATACAGCGATATGGATGTGTATATGTGAATGGGGAAGTATACAAGGAAGTGTAGTGATCAAGGTTGTGAGATTTCGGTAATGGAGGTTGCACCGGCGGGAGTAAGGACTAGAGGAAGAGCTATGGCGACGGCGGCGGAGGAAGCGGCGGATAATTCTGGATCAGCGAAGAGGATGAAGGTCGTCGGAAATGGAGAATTGAGATTGTCTTCTTCGCGAATTACAGATAGTGATGGTGGAGATGTGATTACTACATTGAAGAATTACGGTGATTCCGCCGTGGAGGAATTGAGAGATTTTTCCGGTGATGTTCCGGCGTCTTGTTGTTCGAGTAACGGATCAGTTACGGAGATATTGAAAAGTGCAGATCTGGAGGTATGTGTGTATGAACATTGAACTGTCCTTTCCATTATTATTATTGTTATTTTTTTAATTTCTCTCTCTTTTATGCTTTATCCATGAAAGTTTCATAATATTTTGAATTCGAATTTTGTAATTTGTACAGGAAAGAACTGAAGTTGAAACAACTATGACATACGAAATGAACAGAAGAGAAAGGTTTGATTTCTTCATAAAATTCGCCTCACAGTTGATTCAAAATTTTAAAAAAAGGAATATTCTTGATCTAAAACGGCATCCGTTACACTTTCATTCATCCTCTAAATTAAACAAAAACAAAACACACACAAATCCCTTTCTCTCTCTAACTTTCGATGGATCGTTCATACAGCACACAAACAAGCGACCTCAAGGCGGAATCCGGCGAACTACACTCAACAAATACATCAAAGCCGTCGGTGCAGATCGATTCTCACCGGAAAACGCCACCAGCAGCCGAACTTGAAGAATTCTTCGCTAAAGCAGAAGAAAACCTCCATAAACGTTTCAAAGACAAGTAAGTAATTAAACACACTCTATAAATCCATATATTCTTTACACACATCCTTTCAAAAATCGAGTAAAAAAGTAACTGAATGTAACGATTCTCCTTTCTTCAGGTATAATTACGACATTGTAAAGGACGTTCCATTAAAAGGTCGTTTCGAATGGGTTGAACTAAAGCCATGAAGACGAAGAAGAAGAAGATGATTACTGATGTAAAAAAAAAACAAAAAAAAACAAAATTGTTTCTAAAATTTAGAAACAGAAGTGAAAAGTACAGTAGTACCAGAGTACGTAGTGCATTTTAATTGAATCGAGATCTTTAAAATTTCCAGTTGCAGTTGCATTTGCATTATAATTAATCGATCATGGGGTTCATGAGTACATGAGGTGGTAGTGTTTGTTCGTGGGGGATGTAAGCTTTTGTTCTTCTTTTTTTTTGCTCTGAATAGACAGAGTTTGAGGAAGGAAGAAGGAACAGTTGGTAAAATAGTGATTTGGAGTGTACTTCAACCTTCCCCCAATACATCTCTCGTTTCTTTCTGTTCATCTCTGCAATTCTTTCAGATCATAAAACGTACAACTGATGCGATAGCTTCTCTCATAGGTAATTTTTTTTTTATTTTTTTTTCCTTTCTCGATTTTGCCACTAGTTTTCTTTTAATTATATTTCAAAAAAAAAAATCAATTCTAAAAATCACCATCTAGCAATTTTTCTCGTGATTTTCCATAAAAAAATAAATAAATATTTCAATTTTTTCTCAAAATAGAAGAAGAGTCTTGTTACAAAATTCACTATTCAATGTGAAATTTACTTCAAAAATATCTAAAAAATTTAAATTCTTATATACTGTAAAATTGTTCTTTGCAATACGAATAAAAAAAAAACTGGTCTTATTTTAAGAAAATCAGAAATTTTTATCAATAATACTAATTTTGTAATTTTTTGTTTAAGGATTTAAAAAATTATTTTGATAGAAAAAATGCTTCTTTTTGCAAAAACGAATAAATTTTTAGATTTTCAGAAAATAATGTAAAAAAAGGAGTAAGGAAACATGGGGCTTAATTTCGCAGTAGATCGTTATAAAATTAGTGATTATTTATTTAAAAAAAAAAAAAGTTGGGTTATTCCATATTTAAAAGAATGGTAAATTTTGTTTTTCCAATTCTGAAAATAATTTTTTTTTTTTGTCGAAATGGAAATTATTTGGTTTTAAATTTAAGTGGTAGTTGTTTGGTATGTGGGATGGTAGAATGTAGAGAGAGTACTGACGCCTTGCCGTGTAAGGTACGGACACGTGTAATCATAGAACTGACTCCCATGTGGATGCATCGGTGGCAGTGGCATTTTCGTAAATAAACAATAACATATCTTTCTGTGCAGTGAATTAATCCGACTGTTCCCTTTCGTTACTTGCATCACTAAAACTATAGCATGCCAACCAACATTTCTACTCTTTAATTAATTCAATAGTACATTTCATTTTTTATACCTTTAATATATTTCGTACAATAAAATAGGTGTGTTATATTATCATAAGTATCCTTTATTCATATAATATATACACCCATCCACTCATAAAAGGAGCAATTGAAGAGGTACATATAAAATTAACCTAAAATAAAAGATACCCTATTCCTATTAGCTACATGGTTCTCATGAATACATATATTTATGCAAGTTATATATCTTTCGGTAATATTTTGTGAAATATATATATATATATATATATATATATATATATATATATATATATATATATATATATATGAAAATTTTTAACTTTTAACATGGGAAATGGGAATATACAAGATGACATATGGAAATGACATGCACATCATCAATAGTGGCTTTTGGAGTAGTGGTCCAAATAAGGAAAAAAAAAATTACTTGTAAAGTTGTAATAACGCAAGTTGCTATCATATAATGTAAAAATAATATTAGATTTATTGAAATACTATATGTACTTGTGAACTAGCTAGTTCTTGTTGTGTAGTATTATAATAAGAGCATGTAAGTGTTTGGTATTTGAGATTCTTTACGAAGAAAAACATATTCAAGTGTTAGGTTATTGAACGTTAGACACAGATAAAGACTCGTATGGGAATAAATTAATAAATAAGAACAAAGATTTATGTGATTCATATGATTAGGGTAATTGTGTTATGACCATAAATGAACTACAAAAGTTTATTGTTAATTTTAGAAAAAAGTTTATAATTATAAGGTTGTATATATATATGAGCTAGGAAATTGATTACATGCTAAAACTATTAGCACACATGTATATAGGTCGTATGTTACTTATTTAGGCTAAGACTAGTATTATACAATTTATATATCTTGTAATTGTTGAGCCCAAGTACACACTCGATATGTATATAATTATATAATGTTGACAATGAGAATGAAGAAACCATTCTAGAAAATATAACATGATATCAGAGTTGTCTTAAATTTATCTGATTCTGAAAATGTTTGGAAAAATCTTGAAAATATGTTTCGCGACATTCGTGATGCTCGGAAGTTGATTAGCAAGCTAGCATGTTGATAATTTTCTTAAATTTTCTAAAAATATAATTGTCTAAAAACATAAAATCTCTCGATATGGTATTTTAGTAGCATTATGCTTATAATATATTTTTTACCATAAAATTAAGCTAAAAGGAAAACCATACATACCCTATTCCTATGAGCTACAAACCCTTCTTTATTCTAACCTATAGTGGATAGGTTCTCATCAATACCTAAATAAAGGACTTCCTATATTTATGCAAGTAACGTTTCCATAATCTTTGATGAATAACAAAATATATTTATCTGAAAGTTGTTAACTTTTAAACTTAGAATATGCTATTTTTATAGATGTACAAGATAAAATATGGAATCGACCTGCACCATCAAAGATGTAGACTTTGGAGTAGTGGTCCTAATGAGAAAAAAAGAAGATACTCGTAAAGTTGAATATGAAAAAGTATACATTATTGACAATTTCTCATTTTCATATAATATGAAACTATATCAGATTTAGGTTATAGGGTTTCATTATTAGTAAATATTCGGTTAACTATTATGGTTAAAACTGACTAATTACAGTGCTATCAAAAATTAAATATAGAAACTATATTGCTTTTAAAGAAACTGAAATTATAATTAAACTACATAAGACACTAATAGAAAGTATCTCATTTCTTGACTAATGAGAACATAAAACTTCAGTTTCGATGCTATTTTGTGAAGAAGAAAAGAAATATTCTGAAATTTGTTAGGTTTAAAAGTTGGAATATTCTACTTTTATACACGTACAAGATAAGAGATTGAATGACTCTCCACCATCAAAGATTATAGTGTTTTTTTTGGTAGGACCTCAACAAAAGAAGTTATTTGGAAAGGTGTAATAACAAAAGTATCATATGGAAAAAATTTTTGAAAAAGATATATCATATTATCTAACATAATAGACTAGATGAATACTTGTTTATATTGCTCCTAAAATTTATAACATGATTATATAAATAAATAAATAAAAGGTGAAAAGTTGAAGCTAGGGCACATGGGCCCAATGATTCAACAAAGGCTTAAGAATATAAAATTGAAATTAATGTTGAGAGTCACATGCCTACGATGTGATCCCTCCCACATTCTTTGATGTTGAATGCACCATTCAAATTAATGATTGTTTTTTTCTTTTTAATGTATTTTAAAAACAAAATGTAATGTTCGATCATGAATGAATAATCCCTTGTCTATTAGTTGTTACTTTAAAAAATTGTCCAAAAGAAATTACTTATGATATGTAAATGAGTATTAATAAATACTAGCAGATTTGTTTCTTTTATAATTTGGTTGGTGGTAATATTTAATTAGATAATGAAGTTTTGTTAAATATTCGAATGATAGAAAAGTTATATATTTTTAGATATAGACATTTTAAACAATATCTATTTTATATTTTATTATTAAGATTGTTTAATAGAACAAACATCAACACTTTAGAACAAAATAATCCTTGAATTAAAAATATTAATTATTTACTTCATTATAATATTTCATTGAGAACAAGACAACCATCTTAAATCTGGATCTTCTTATTCGATTTTTTAATCATCTTCTACAAATCATCGTAAGTCCACCACCCTAAGCCACCATTACAACACCCATCCTCAACTAGGATCAGTTGCCACCCACTTCTTCACCATCAACTAGGATCGATCATAAAATAACCTATAAATATGGATCGATATACAAAACTATTATCTTTTCTTATTATCAAAAGCTGAAAACAAATAGATAAATTATAAGATTTGAAAATGGTAGTAAAGGTGTAAAGGAACAACGACGGATCTTGTCTTCAAAGATCTGATCTGTTTTTAATTTGGAGTTAGACATTGATTTTAAATTATATTTTTATTAGAAAAATATATAGATAGATTATTTTTATGAATCCGTCATTTATCGATGAAAACAAATAAATTATTTAAAACAAAGTTTGACAATGATAGGAATTAAAAGAAAAAAAAGTAGCGGGTATCATGACACGGTAGAAGAGTATTCTTCTTGGATCTGGTGACCCTGCAATTATTTTTATTATTACTTGAATCTAATATATATATATATATATATATATATATATATATATATATATATATATATATATATATATATATATATATATATATATATATATATATATATATATATATATATATAGAAAGTGAATATACCCTTAAGGATATATAAACTTAGGTACCCAAACCCACCACAATATATCGTTTTGTTTGATACATTTATTATATTTTTCTTAAACTTCAATCTCTAATTTGATTTATTTTCAAGATTTTCAAATTTTTACTATTATCTTTCTCTTACATCACATCTTTTTGCCAAACACCTACTAGGCTATATATATTATAGTTGAAAATGAAAATTATATAAAAGGAAGATAAATGTCAAATTTATAAAAATCTTGGAAGTAAATCATGTTAGAAGTTGAATTATAAAAATATTGGACTATTACAATGTGTATATATATATATATATATATATATATATATATATATATATATATATATATATATTACAAAACCACGTAGTATGGTGGGTTTGGGTACCTAAGTTTATATACCCTTAAGGGTATATTTACTTTTCCCATATATATATATATATATATATATATATATATATATATATATATATATATATATATATATATATATGTCCTGTGAGAACTAAAAAAATCATGTGAACATGTGAACTCATAATCAACTCATCATTTTTCAAAATCAAAAACACAAATTTTCTTCAAATTGTGTGTCTAAGCCATATTGAGGCTCAAAAAAAATTGACAATTTTTTTATATCTATTTTGGATATTTACATGTATACACAATCAGCAGTCATATGGACTGCTGATAAGCACACACCAGTTATATGGATTGCGAACGTACACAATCAGCAGTGATTGTGCTCATTAGCAGTTCATATTTCTTTTAATTGTTCTCATCAGTAGTTATATGATTGTTGATTGTGCTCATCAGCAATCAGTGGCGGATGTAGAGCATTGTAAGTGGGGTGCATGGACCCCACTTGATTATAATTTCCATCTTATATATTTTCGATAAAAAATCATTTGTTTATATCTTTTTGCAACTGGTCCCCACTTGTTTTTGTTAGCACCCTTTAAACATATAGAACTTTGTTTCTTTGTTTCTTCTGTTCT